TTTTAATATAGAATCGAATTTAATCGGTGTTAAGAATAATAGTACATAAAATGAAACGTATCGAATGAATACCTATCCAAGAATGCCGTGCTAATCACCAAATATTCTTATGTGTCCCAGTTCGACGTATCGTTCTACGAAATATGAGTAGCACTCGTGAATCATGACAGGGTGGTCCTAGCCTAGCGATAAACGAAACATCCGAGTGGTTACAGTAAGTTGTTTATTTTGTGATTTATTTTGTTAGTATTTTTCTAAATAAATATATTCACTACACTGGCGCCCTGACGTAGAGCCCGAACTTGATGCTCTAATAGATTTTAGATAATACTTCGACAATATTTGTCTTGTATAGTCAAAATCTTTATTTTATCATAGTTGTGTGTTAAATTTCGAATTGGTATTCGTCATTTGGCTTTTTCTAGTCTCTTACGATTGGAATATTCGCTTAACGACATTACCGAGTCTTATTTAAAACATTACTCAATATTCCTCGTCGAAGTCAACGCATAGCAAGGCAAGCTACTACGATGGCTATGTCTGCGGAGCAGTTTCAACAGCTACTACAAGCAGTGGCTGGTATTCGCACTGAACCGGACAACCACAAGAAAGGAAGCCTGAGCAAATGCACGGCACAATACGATGGAACCCGTTGTCATGAGACTGTCAATAATTTTTTAAATGTGGTGGATATCTATAAAGATATGGAACACATTTCAGACGAAGATGCTCTGAAGGGTTTACCATTATTACTTACTGAAAACGCAGCCACGTGGTGGCAAGGCATAAAGGAAGAAGCTACAGACTGGAAGAAAGCAATACAATTAATTCGTTCTGCGTTTTCACCAGCAACTCCACCTTATCAGACTTATCTAGATATTTTCAATTCCCCTCAAAGTGCCTCCATGCCAACCGATGAGTTCGTCTGTCGACAACGAGCGCTCCTTGCTAAATTACCGGCGGGAAGACACGACGAAGAATCTCAGATTGACCTAATATATGGCCTGATACACATCAGATTAAGAAAAAAGATTCCAAGAGATCAAATTTTTACCTTCACGGATCTCTTGACAAAAGCGAGAGAAACTGAACGACTAGAGTTAGAAATCCAAACCACACCTGCGGTAAAGAATAAAGAACCGACAAATACGCAACACGAGAGGAAAAATAAAACTCGATGCGGTTTTTGTGGATTTAGGGGCCATAGCACCCAAGAATGTCGCAAACGGCAAGCAAAGTCGCAGGAGCGGAATCAACCTAAATCAGCGCTGATAGATCCTAAGAAAGTGACACAGGGCATATTCATTGCTATGGCTGCGGCAAACCTGGATTTTTCCGTAGCAATTGTCCCACTTAAAGACGTCCACACTCAAGCAGTTCATTTCTACTCTATAAACACATTTTTAAGGTCAACACCTGAATTTCCAACGGTATCGGCAAGAATATGTGGAATTAAAGGCCAGGCCCACCTAGACACGGCTACTAAAACAAGTATGGCTGGAACCACCCTCTACAATTTATTAAAAGAGAAACGCTGCGCCTTCGCTAAATCGCCAGCCTCTGTCACTTTAGCCGACGGACAACAGCAACAAACTGATGTTCTAACTACTTTTACGACTATAGAACTAGGGAGAAGAATGCATAATATTAATTTCGTTATACTCCCTAAGGCCGTTGATAACCGAACCTTACTAGGTATCGACTTCTCAGAGAAGGCTAGCATCATTCTAAACCTACCACAACGTTGTTGGAACTATGCAGATCAGCCGAATAAGCATTTCGAATTCCAACAATACAAAGAGCTAGTTGTCCATAAGCAACCGCAGACTAAAAAGAATGAACCAGTCAATACAAACAAACCGGGACCCAACGTCAACCTCTGCGTCACCAAAATAGATGACGTCACAGCATCCTTATTTCTTGAGTTTTTCGCCTCACCTCAAGAGAAGAAATTGATGAAGGTCCCTTAGATTAACCTGACATAATCTTTGCAGATATGTAAATATCCAAAATATGTCAAACTGTTATGCACCGGAGGAGATTGAAAATATATTCAGGGATAGTCTCCCTCTTACGTATTCCCCTACTAAAGGTAAACGTGCCAAGCGCAATAGCTTTGAACTATTTAGTTTGGACCTAGCCCTGCAACCGGAGGAAGCACCGACACTGCAGCCACCTGAAAGAAGACAGTTAGATAGCATCCTGGAAGAATTTCAGAACCTATTTGAAGATCATGGACCTCCTACTCCATGGACTGAGCATAGAATAGACACCGGCAGTAACGGACCCATTTCTAGCGCTCCCTATCGTCTCAACTCAACCAAGCAAACAATTTTACGCTCCAAGCTAGACGACATGCTTGCCCATGGGATCATCGAGGAAAGCGAAACACCCTGGACCTCTCCGGTAGTGTTGGTACCAAAGAAAGATGGCGACATTAGAGTTTGTGTCGATTATCGACGTCTAAACGCAATTTCCGTCCCAGGCAAATACCCGCTTCCTCGCATAGACGATCTCTTACATGCCGCCAAGAGCAAGCCTTATATGACTACGTTAGATCTTAAATCAGGATACTGGCAGATCAGAATCCACGATGACAATAAAACGAAAACTGGTTTCATCACGCCATTCGGAGTGTATTGTTTTATACGCATGCCCTTTGGTTTACGGAATGCACCGTCAACCTTTCAACGATTGATGGATAGATTTAAAATTAGTCTGAGTCACATATCGCTCCTGGTTTACCTAGATGATTTAATCATTCGATTGTCGACGAGCATCTGAGGGAATCAGCACAAGATTCCGGCGTTTACAATAATTTAAACTTCGCGTTAACCGAGTTAAATGCCGTTTTGCTTGTTCTACAATTTGCTTCCTGGGGCATCTATTAACACAAGAAGGAATTACAATGGATCCCAATAAGACACAAGCAATTGTAGCATTACCCGCACCTACAAATATTAAAGAGTTACTAAGATTCATTCAAACATGTTCGTGGTATCGAAGATTTATCGAAAATTTCGCCAGCATCGCCAAACCCCTGACGAATTTAACTAGGAAAAACACTACTTGGACATGGGGATCAGCTGAACAAGAAGCATACGAAATGCTGAAAAAATGTTTGATAACCGCTCCAATCCTTAAGCAAGCTGATGAAAATGAACCTTTCACCATCAAAACCGACGCTAGTAGCTACGCTATCGGAGCAGTTTTGGTCCAGGGGGAGGGAGCGGACGAACATCCTATAGAGCATAGGTCTTCAACACGCGGCCCGCGAGCCGCCTGCGGCCCGCTAAAGCTTTTTTGGCGGCCCAGCAAAAGCTTGGGGGATATCAGTCCAAGTTGAGCTATTTAAAAATAATCAACAACCAAAAATACCAAACGTGATTTTCTTTTATCAATTATTTTAAATTGCAGTTAAAAATTCTTCATTTTCTCTTACCTGCATTCTACTTTAATCCCTTAATAGACTGACTACGTTTAAAAGGAAAATATTCTTATTTTTTTCTAAGTAAGGTAGTTTCAATTTTAATCCCTTAATAAACATCAGTTGCAAAGGATAAACTTCTTAATTTTTTCTTAGATTGTACCTAATTTTGCCTTTAATCTCTTAATAAAAGGCAGTTAAAAGGATTACGTTAATAACACATATTATAAATTGGACATTTTTACAAACCCGACCCGACTGGAGCGTAGTATTTATTCCAGTCGATATAATTCGAACGCTGAACCTGCACACAACTCACACGTGTACTGTTATGACGCTCCCCGGTCCACCGCGAGGAAAAGTTTCGACAATCTCGAGACAGTCGTCTTGCCGGCCCGTGTTTGTGAACGACACACCCTTTGTATAATTATTCGCTGCTCCTACTGAAGTATCTGTGTATGTTTTTTAATTTTTTACTGTAACAAAAGTTTTTTGATTTATTGACTTTGTGGTTCGAAGACGACATCAAACGAGTGTGATGGCAGCAAGTACAAGTAGAAAACGCAAGGTGACAGATGAGCACCGGTCATTCCAAGAAAAATGGACAAATTTATATTTGTTTGTTTGTGTTGGAGAAAAACCGGTTTGCCTTGTATGCAATGAGTCGGTCTCTGTGATGAAGGAATATAATATTAAACGGCATTATGATTCCAAACATTCAAGTAAATTTGCATATTTTCAAGGACAGTTACGTCTTGATAAGGTCGAGGTTCTGAAAAAACAACTTCAACGACGGCAGCATTCGTTTCACAAACAGAACGAAGATAGTGAAGCAAGTGTAAAAGTAAGCTACATAATTTCGGAGAAAATTGCACATAAATCAAAACCATTTACTGATGGTGAATTAATAAAAGAATGTATGGAGGCAGCAGCAGACGTGTTATGTCCCTCGCAAAAGCAACTTTTTTCCAAAGTAAGTCTGTCTGGTGTTACAGTTGCAAGGAGGGTAGAAGAATTGGCAGGCGATATTGAAAAAACATTAATTGAAAGATCGTCGCATTTTGTTTACTACTCCGTTGCGCTTGATGAAAGTACAGACCTAACAGATACCGCTCAGTTAGCAGTGTTTATACGCGGCATTGACAGAAATTTTTCTGTTACTGAAGAAATGGCTGCCTTAGTTCCAATGAAAGGCAGCACAAGAGGATGTGATTTATATGAAGCGTTTAATACCGTCTTAAATGGATATAATCTGGAGTTAACAAATTTGGCTGGGATATCCACAGACGGCGCACCGGCTATGGTTGGCAAAAATGCAGGACTTATTGCATTAATAAAAAAAAAAAATTCTGGCATCTCCTTCCTCCAATACCACTGCATCATTCATCAACAAAATTTATTTGCAAAGACTGTCAATATTCAAGATGTTATGAGTATTGTGGTGAAAACAGTTAATTTTATCAAATCTCGGGGCCTTAATAACAGACAATTCCAAGAGTTTTTAAAAGAAACGAATGCTGAATATGGTGACGTTATTTATTTTTGTGATGTTCGCTGGCTTAGTAGAGGCAAAATGTTAAGACGGGTATTTGATCTGAGGAAGGAAATTGCAGCTTTCATGGAAAGCAAAGATAAAGCTGTTCCTCATTTTACCAATGAAGCATGGCTGAGTGATTTGGGTTTTCTTACAGATATTACATCACATCTAAATGATTTGAATAAGAAACTTCAAGGGAAAGAAAATTTAATCCATGAGTTATTTGACTCCTTGAAAGCGTTTCAAGTAAAGCTGGACCTGTGGATTAATCAGTTCAAAAAAAATGTTACCACACATTTTCCTCATTTGTCATCTTGCCAGATAACAAATATGGACAAATATATTTCTGCGCTTGAAGATATGAAAACACAGTTCGACTCACGTTTCATCGATTTCCGGAAAAATGAGCAGTGCCTGAATTTGTTTGCTCGCCCATTTAGTGTTTCTGTCGAAGATGCTCCTGAAGAAATTCAAATGGAATTGATAGAGTTACAGTGCAACTCTATTTTGAAAGAAAAATTTGACTTAGGACTGCTTGAGTTTTATTCAAAATATGTCTCCATTACAGATTTTCCTAAACTCAGAAATCATGCACTGAAAATGACATCACTTTTTGGCACCACATATTTATGTGAGCAATTGTTTTCAAGAATGAAATGCGTGAAATCCAAGACAAGAGCCAGAATCACCGATGGTCATCTTGAGAACAGTTTAAGAATTGCAACGACAACCATTGGGGCAAATATTGACAAATTAGTTAAAAACAAAATATGCCAAACGTCTCACTGATTATTATTATTATTATTATTATTATTTTTTATATTTGTAATATATTTTAATAAATAAATTTGAATAATAACGATAATTGTTTTTTTTAATAAAAAAATTGTCCCCAATTGCCGACTAAAATACAGCAAAACACTTATTTTAAAAAAATAACTGTTAGATGGAGTTATATATTAATTTCCGTGGGTAAATGGGCTTGACACAAAAAAAAAGCGCCTTTCTTATGTATGTTTGACTTGGGTTGCGGCCCGCCGAACCAAAATCAAAATATTTTTGGCCCTAGATATCAAAAAGGTTGAAGACCTCTGCTATAGAGTATGCCAGTCGCCTATTAACGAACAGCGAAATAAACTACACGACCACCGAAAGGGAAGCCCTAGCTATTGTTTGGGGAGTTTCTAAATCTCGAGGCTATATCGAGAATTCCGAGACAATTATCATCACTGACCACCAACCTCTGAAGTGGCTGCTCGGACTGAAAACGCCTACAGGACGCCTTGCCCGTTGGGCCCCCTTCAACTTCAACCCTATAATTTAAAGGTACATTACTCTCCTGGGAGGACTAATATAGTGGCTGGCTTTTTATCTCGTCCTCCATGTAATAACCACATAAACCCCTCACAGCTATGTGTCTGTAGGGTGGAAATTGATTTACCACGCAACAGTGAGGGGCAAATGCGAATAGAACAACTTTGCGATATCAAGTTAAAACGCATCATTGAATCCTTTGAATCCGGTATAGCTGAAGATAACCAAAAATGGTTTCAAAGGGGTTATTTTATGCATAAGAGGGTACTTTATCGATACGTAGAAGAACAGGATGACGAAAATGCACGAATAGTTGTACCTGATGAGGAAAAGAAAAATATTATTTATGCCTACCATGACAGCTGGACATTACGGCGTTCACAATATGGTCTATCGAATCTCCAAGAAGTATTACTGGATGGGAATGAGACGTGATATTGTACAACACATATCTAAATGTGTCCCATACCAGCGTTACAAAATTTCTAATTTGAAACCTGCTGGTTTTTCTAAATAAATATATTCACTACACTTTTTAGATTTCAAAAAAAAAACTTATGGTTCAAGATATAGAGAAAGTTTATAAAATTAATGACATTCTGACAAATTGCCATACATGCCTTTATGGTAGCCAAACAAATCAGTACTTTGATGTGGCACCTCCAAATTTAGAAGCATACTGTCCTTAAAATAAATTATTTATTTTTATTTTATTAGACTTATTATTTAAATTAATACATTGAATATATCTAGAAATCTTATTTTTTATATATTTTCTGGAAATCCAAAAATAAAAATCTTTGTTTTATTGTTTATTAAAAAATATGTATCACTACTAATGCTACTTAAAATAAATCAAATTCAAATAATCAATTAGATAAATATTTTTAATACACTTATGACAATAGTTATGAAGCCTGATACTAAAATAAGTGTGCTAGTAGTTTAATATTCAACATTTTTATTATGAAAAAAAAATTACTCCCTTTCTTTATATTAGCAAGTATCTCTTAAAAACTACTTAATTTAAATTTCATATTTCAAATAACAAAATTTATAAATGAATTTAATAAAAAAAAGCTGGACCTGACCATAATCTAACAGTGCTTCGACTCAGATATGACAGATATTTACTGCACATGAGCATGAGCATCAACCAGGTTGTGACGTTTTGCGCAAAATCAAAACGCCGCACTTTTTGATATTATGATTAGGACTGCCGTTCCATTGTAAGAGTTACAATTCAGTGGTGGCAGCCAAATGTTTACTGTCGCAAGATATTCGTGTTTTGGAAGTCTAGAGTGACAGCGGTGACAAGTGTCATCAGTTGACACTAATATGACACATGTCAAAAGAGACATGTGTGTTCTATTGCCGGTGTAAGTCAAGTTACTCTAGGTGTGATTCGAGTGAGAGTGGGGTGGGTCAGAACTTTAAGTCTGAGTGATGTTTTATTTTTTATATTTTGAATGTATGATGAAAAGTTATTTCAGAGATAATAAAATGAAAAGAGGGGACTACGATTATCGATTTACTTCATCGCACATTAGGGGTTCTTCAAGTGGGAGGACAATAAAACAGTGACTTTAATTTCAAACTATCATGGTAGCGAAACAACCACCGTAAAACAAAAACAGAAGGACGGCACTTTAGTAGAAATACCTTGTCCAACTGCAGTAAATAAATTTATGGGCGGAGTTCATCACGTTGATCAATTTGTACCTATGGATCGAAGGTCAAAGAAGTGGTGGCATAAATTATTTTAGAGAATGTTAGATGTGTTTTGTGAATGTTTTTATAATCTAATGCTCCAATAAAAAGAATTTCGCCGTTCAGTTGCATTGGGTTTGATGAAGAAGAAAGACCAACTTTTCCGTATCATCTGATATCCGTCTTACAAACAGGGGTATCCATTGATCAATATATGTTAAAATCAAGGGGCAGTTGTCAAGTATATGTGATAACATATTCAGTTCAGACAACACTCAAAGTGTAAAACCTGTAATGTTTTCTCATGAGGTAATACAAAAAACTGTTATATTCAGTTTCATGAAGTAAATATTTAATTTTCACTGTATAATAATTTTTTTGTATAATTATAAATAGTACCTAACTGCCTGACGATACCTAAAAATTGTTACAGGATAAAAGAAATTGTAGGATTTTTAGGATATATTTAGGACTCATTTAACATAAACTGCATTTCTAAAACCTAAAATAAATGCTACTTACAATAAATTTACTGAATTATTTTATATTTTATCATTTGTTTACTTCCATTAAAATTTCCTTACTATTTCAAACTTGAGAATCCATGTAGATTTCAAATTGGGAATCCATGTAGAATTTATCTAGAAGGAAAGAGGACATAAGTATCTTAATAATAAACAATTTTTACTATTTATTACATTTCAAAACAACTTAAAATCATTTCGAAAGGTAACAAATTATTGAATTAGTTTTGTTTACATTTTCATAATATCTACATGTCATAAGTCACAAAAGTCGATTTTAATGAATGACAATTAGAATGAATTAAGTAATCATTCATTCATTCATTCATCTACCAGTTCTAAGAAATGTACTAGAACTAGACTTTTAATTAAAATGTTTTGTCTTTGTCTACCAACTAGATTAGACATAAGTTCATCTCTTTTCAAGTATTAGAACTTATAAACTAACAAACTATTTAATAATTTGGAGGGTCTTATCAAAAGGGAATATGCCATTTTGTTCTTCTTGTGAGATCTTTCGTCAAGAACAAGTGTCAACATTTTTGTGGATTTTTCCAAAAGTTCTTCGATTCAAGAGATTGCGAATTGTTCTGTTAAATAGAAATTCATCAACCAAGGGTTGGATTTAGTCTCGCGAAGTGAAAAACTACCAAAAACTTTTGATCAGGAGACCCTGAGCAAATTTATTACTCTTAGAGGCCACACCCCATCAAAGGTACTTCAAATAAAAACTTATTATTAATGATATATAAAGATACTTACGTTTCTCTCTCTTTCAGGCCTTTTTCTCCTTTTCTTTTTCTATATTTTATGTCTCCTCTTATTTCTCCAAATTGCACGTAACTTCCGACGTTATATTCCTCTGTAAACGTCACCATCGCAGACATCTTCATCCAGACCACCCATGGGGAATCACTGACTGGTCTCACACGTCCCTAGTCTCAACCCCTTGCGATCGATCCAGACACTAGCCACGGAGAATCATCGACTGGTCTCATACCGGAGGTATACCTAGTCTCATCCCCTAACTTGCTATACAAGGTAACCATTCTATGCTTTATTAATCGGAATTCCGGACTGTGGTATTGGACATTTAAACCTGAAACCGAGTGATATATATTTTGAGAAATATTAGGCTACTCGAATTTGTACATATAGATTTAGTTGTAAATTTTTATCAAGCTAATTAGTTCATAGTATAAACTTACCATATCTTAACAAGACATTGAATTTGTCCGATTATTTCCAGCATTAAGCGTGGAATACTTTTTTTTGTATGGAGAGAATTATGGAGAGAAAATTTTAAGAAGCATTATGAGAAAACAAAAAAGGAAAGGGAAGAGAAGAAACAATGCGAGGAGCAAATAGACGGCCGTCGGACTGCTGGGAGATCTATAGTTCGAAAAGATAAATCTGCAGCTAATATAAACCTGAACAAGGCTTTAATAAAACTTAAAAAATGTCTAGTAGTAAAGCAAATCGCTTTAAACAACGTTATTTTAGGTTAATACGTTAAAAACTGGTTTAAATACTTCTAACAACTCAAATAAAAGTGATAGTCCGAAAATCAGCGCCAACAAGATATCTTCAAAAAATCAGAGAATTATTATTTTCCGAGGCAATTTGCAAGCAGATGAAAATTAATTATACACGAAAATACACAGTAAGAAAAACAGAAAATAAGAACATGCAAAAAAAGGAAAGGTGTTAAAAAATACAAAATGATAAAATATACAAAAAAAATTGGCGAGAGACGCCAAAGAGTAAAATATAAAAATGATGTCAACTCAACAATTTATCGTTAAAAAAAAGAAATAGAGGTTCTTAGAAAGGGATGAAAACTCCAAATTAGCTCCCGGAAAAAAGACACTGGGAGAAAAAAATAAATTCGCTATTTAAATGCATCGTTAAAGAAGCTGCAGGTTAAGACCTTCTTGGATTAGACATCCCAACATTAATAGGCGAGACACCTGTCTATGCAAAGTATGTGCAAATACTTCGTTTATAGTTCAAAAACTAAGATTTTTAAAAGTTATAAATGTTTCTACAACGCAGCAACTTCTAACTTATCTTGGTTGCAATGAACAACATGATGTAGCATGTTTAGTAAGATCTTGCAGAAATTGTTTTGAAACCTTTAGGCGACTTTATAACGAATTTGATTATGACAATTCAACAAGCTATTCGGGTTCATTCTGTTAAATCTTGCTATAAAACTTGCTAATGTAACCATATTGTTAC